GTTTTCTTGAACGCAAAAATCGCACAAGCTTTCTTGTGGCAAAAACAGCTCTATCTTTTCTGTGGAGCTCTGGTAGCTTCGACCAAACGCTTATCTTTGTAAAAACAATCATGTCATTGAGTTTGAGTTTCTTGTGGACCGCTGCGCCAAACTTCGGGCTGCAAAATGCGCCAAATCCGAGCAGAAGTGAGAATTGAGTAGCATTTGAGCCAAGTAATGCTTTTTCTGTCATACAAACTAATTGACTTCAGACGTCTAATTGATAAGACTTGTTTATAAGAGCATGCACATGTCAATTACTTGTCCGCAACTTGACGATTTTTTTCGATTTTTACATTCAACTTGCGGTCAAACCATTTTGGTCCATAGAGTCTCCCTTCATGTAGTATAGTGGAGCTGATTGTCGGGCACATTCCAGCAATTATGGACACATCCGTAGCACGAGTATTGGAAGTTTAGGAACTTCCACAAAGACGATTAACAAAAAGTGGTTGCAAGTTTCAACCTAATTTCGGTCAATTTCTCAAAATCACCTTTTGTGTGCACCAAATTGCAGGATATTCTGATACATTGCAAAGTGGAGTAGTTTGCACATAATACCATAGTTTTGGTTCATTATGTAGAATGCAAAGTGAATTACAGCTACTTTTCATGGTGGTTGCAAACTTTTGGCCAGCACGTATAAGATGAAGTGAGTGATGCCATCGCTAACTGGTTCGTGGCGTTCTCTTCTTCATGTTTCCTTTTTCTTTTTCGTATTTTTTTGGATCTTTGCTCACAACTGCTTTGTTTGTTCCCTTTATCGTTCGGTGTTTTTGTGTTGACATGGCTTTGATTCACGGATATTGTTTTATTACACCTCCACTAACATTCAGGTAAGAGTTATAATTCCTACAAGATTTTTAATGTCGAGCGATAGTTTCATCGACGATCAGTGTGAATTATGCGCAATGAGTATTCAATGTAACAAATATATAGGGCATGAAAAGTCGTGACGATGGCGCCACCGCGGGCGACGCGCACGTCACTTCCGGAAGTCGCATTTTCTTGGTTTTCATCTATAATTGGATGGTTTTTTGCCTACATGTGATAATATTTAAACACTGGAAGTGACTGAGCTGAACGTTCAGGTGGTGTCTTCTTGCGTGAGCGTTTTATGCCCCGATGGGCGCAAAGTCCGCAGTAAAATCCGTCGTTACGATTTTATAAGTAAACTATAACATAGCATACGACATAGCACACATACAATATTGCCACACACTTGCCGTTATTTCATTTTTAAACGCATATAGCACCAAATGGTATAATGTTACCTCATAGGTATATAGTATAATATAGGACAATGTTACCTCAAGCTCTGCCGGATGATGGGAGGTTACCTCCCCTCTCCCCAATTGCCTGCTGCAGTAACAGCTTCCTGCGAACACGGTCTCCAGATGGTCAGCTTTGCCAAGGTATCTTTCGCATTCATCAATGTAGCGGCATTTCCGCGTTCAGAAGCGGGCCCTCTACCTTGTTACAGGCTGGACCTGATTGCAGAACGGTTCTCTTTCCCACTCTTGTCTGGACCTTTCTTGCTACTATATCATTGGCGCTTTCGTAGTTCAGCGGCCAAACCAACCCAGAACACCCACACCAATTGAACGAGGAACGGTTTATTGGATACCTCAAACTTGGGTAGTTAAACCCATGTTGCAGAAAAGTAAAACAGTACAATCGAAAAAATACAAAATTCAATTATGCTATCCAGTAAGAATCTCAGGAATTGCTTATTGCTGTTTCAGGTTATTTTGGCGCACATTTCCAAAAGTGAGTTTAGTGAAAATACTCAGAATTCTCGAACGTTTCCAACAGGTGCGCAAGGAAGTAAAGCGCGACGCTATAAATCCAAGCGACAAAAATTGTAAAACATAGATTCTGTAGAAAAAGATCCTACGCGGCGACGCATTCCAGTTTCTAACTTTCTTCTTGCCATCGTTCCTCGTTTGTTGATAGTCGGAAGCCGCATTGGTAAAATTCCGTAAAAGATGAACTTGAAGATAGTGCAGCATGGGAAAAGATACTGTAATTGGCAGCTCGCGCTTTGTAGTCGCGATACTGCCGCCCTACCTTGCCAATGATTGGAGTATGAGTGTGACGTGTAATATGAGCGTAGTTCATCATCAAGGGATCGGAGACTTGATAATTTTCGGTTCAGTGCGTTGCGGGCCCTCCCAGTCTTTCAAGGGTGGGCAAGCTTGCATCCGGTAGGCTACAGACCGATGACGCCTGATGGCCGTATCGTCGGCAGTGGTGACATGGAGGGGGTCACTTCCGGCATCTTCCGGCTCTCCGGGGCAGACGATGTTAAAAGCGTGAAAGCAACGGATAAATCGATCCGAATGATAAATGGCTCGATTCTGAATCCGACGAGGTGGACAAGCGTCGGACGCTCTTCCACTTCCATTGTTAGGATGTTCGTGTTGATGGACCGTTGGATTTGTCATTTTTCACGTCGGATTTCGAGTGTTTTCCCTTCCTCGATCTTTCTCTCTTCATTATAGTCCTCTGAAGTGTTGTCTGATCTTGCTTCTGTTGAGATTTTTTTGAACAAGCTAGAAGTTTGTGTATCGACTTCCGTTGTCGTTTTGGTTGTTGATCGGTTCATCGTTTATGTCACATTGTGCCGATACGTCACCGCATGTTTCTGCGAGATTCAAAACGCCGCATTAACGGGACGCTGCAATTGCGCCCTGAGAGCGGTAGCTAATACTGCATGTAGCGCAATAAAACAAACATTAGGCGAAATCATTTGTAAAAACACAGCCTTTGTTGTACCATATACTCCCAAAGTACCAAGTTCCAACTTATACTTCCATTTCAATGCAGCGAGTCAACTCATCAACTGTTCATGCGGAAAATCGAAAAACTATTTCATCATATCAGGCATTCTCAACTTTGTGGAAGACATCCAGTCACATCTCCTTTTGCTGTGAAAAGCAGTAGCACGGTATATGGCAAAATAGAATGGCCGATTTTTCGCATGTCCTGAGTGTCTACTGGGCCGGTACAAGACGGTAATCATCGCACTACTCATGGCGATAGCGCTTTTCATATCGTACGTTTCCTTCAGTCAATGGGAACATGTGCTCTCAGAATGTTTTTTTTTGCGCGCTCATAAAAATACAATGCTCTCCATTGCATGCTGCAGTCAGCGTGGCAAGAATGTTACTCAAACGCCGAAGAAAAAACACGCACACCATCCACACACCACACGCCAAAGAAGTTTGAACATTAGAACAAACAAATCACAATCAACTTTAAAAACTTGTACATATTTCATGGATAGATTTATTTTAGAAATGGATAAAGACGAAGACTACAAACGCGTAAAACAAGAACTGCAACATCTTCAACAATAGTAGAACAACTACCCAAACCTGAGAATGTTTACCAAGATTTTGTCGAAGCGGCAAAAAGACTAAGTGCAATGGAACTGCACTGGCTGCAGTTGAATTTGCCAAACATGATGACCACAAAAACGACCCAAGAGCAAAGGCAAGAACAAGTAATGGAATAATGACTTCGGAAAGCGGAATTTGAAAAACACAGACTTAAATACATTCTACTCAAAACGCAATTCAGTTACTATACGATACAGCCAATCTCATGGACTAATGTCATACTAATGTCATATCAAGATTGGAATGGAGCACAGTGCTCGACACGGTGGCAGATGGACCAAACGACATGCTATTGGATCGGCCAACAAGCGAAGAAATCATTAAAGAACAATTGAAAATCATAGAATAACACAGAAGAATTCTCAGTGAAAAACGTCAGTAGACACAATAAGAAAAGAAGTTGGAAAAACACGATTTGGAAAGCGAAATGAAGCAAGCACTGACTGCATTGGAAAACGTGTGTTAAAACCTGTTACGGACGCCGATGATAGACGAGGATGATGAATCCTGACAACGCCACGCGCGCGACCAACAATGGACCGTACGCCGATACGATGGAAACACAACATACAAAAGGCAAAATCGGACCCTGACCAAAAAGAAGCAAATGTTGAGGAAGCGACGAAGACAGAGGCGGGGGAAGCTTCGCAACCGTCGAACGATGAAGAGTCGCATAAGGGAGTTTCGAGACCTTGCCGATTGCCGCTTTTGCAGCCGTTAGCCGCTTTCGCGCCAATTGCAGCTATTGCAGCCGAAGTGGTCATGATATTGCCTCCCTGGCTAGCATGCGGGATGAAAACTCATTGATCAATCTACTTTTTGTGTTTTTTTATGTCTTTTCCCTGATTATTCTGTTATAGACTGGTTTTGATGTATAAGTCTTTCGACAGTGGTTGCTCAAAGACTTGAAACGTCGCCGAGGACAGCTGGCTATTTATCCCCTGCGATTAGCTGGAGTTTACAAAGTGTACTATTCTTTCTTTTTTTTCAGTTTTGTTACGCTCAATTTTCACGCTTTCTGTGAATAACGCGATTGAAAGCTGGACGGGATGTTAAAGAGCATTTGTGCAAGTCCATGATAGTGCATGTACGTAAACATAGAGAAACTGCTTAACCCACAGCAAATATGAAGCTTGAGCGTAAACACATTACCTATTTGTGATGTTCCTTGCTTCTTCCTTCTTTATTTTCGTGTTTAGCTCAAGTTTCATATTTGTTGTGGGTGATGCGGAACATGAATTTGCACGAATGCTCTTCAAAATCGCAACACCTTTTCAAGTCGCATCACTGACAAAAGCATAAAACTTGAGCATAACAAAAACTGAAGAAAGACGCTATAAACAGTCCACTTTGTAGGCTCCAGCTGATTGTAGGCGATACTTTGGCACATCTGCCCTCAGCGGCGATGTTTCAAGATTTATAGCAATCGTTGTCGAAAGAATTGTACCTCAAAAAGAGCCCATAACAAAAAAATTATTACGAGTAGGATATAAAAAAGCAGAAAGAATTGATAGATGAATGAGTTTTGCGCCCCATGCGCGCCAGGAAGACAATGGCATGACCCACTGCGCTTCGGCAGCAAAAGCGGCGACCGGCGCGGTCAGGAGGCTGCCTAACGAGGAACCACAAGAGCCTAGACAAACAGAAGAAGAAAGTGGGTCGCGTAACTTAGACTCAGGGGACGAAGGTCAAAGGGGATCTAGGAAGGCATTCACCTGTAGAACTTGCAGAAACGAATGATGAAACAAGGGACGACGAGGGAAATCGACTTGGAAGAGATTACCAGGAGCTACCCAGACTCGTTGACGACGACGATATGCTGGAACTGATCGACGAATTTTATGAAGAGTAGGAAAACCCAGCACCTCGAGCGTCACCAGAGGAAGCAGAGGCTAACGGACAAGTTTAAGGCCTGAATAAAGTGTGGCCGTTTGGCTCTGTTGGTGCAATTGGTGAACCACCGACTGTAGGCGCCATCTTCGCTCCAAATTCCTCAGGAGTTCCCTTTCGCGCTTTTTTCTGACGGTGTTAGCGATCAGTTTCGTCTACCGTTTCTCGAAATTGTATGAGTATTTTAGAAACTTGTAGTCTTCGTTGTTTTTCTCTTATATCTTTTTTTTGTTTATGGTCCTATAATCTCATTTTCCCACGCGAATCTTGGGTAACCTTTACCATGCTAGCTCATTTAAGTTTATTGAAAGGTATTAGAAGAAGGTAGTACAATCTCCAATTACTTCATGAAGTTAGTGTCCTGATTTGTTTCAGTTTCCTTGATCTTTTTCTCAATTGATGAGAGCAGTCCTTGCCATGCAACTGGGGCTGGTGGATCAAGCTCGGCGAACAGCTCGTGTACGTTGACTTCTATCGCTTATGTTGTCTTGTTGATGCCTTGTTTTCTCTTGTCTTTCCTAATGTTCATCAACTTTCTCTTCATCGCGCTCCATTTCTGGTAGAGCTTCTCCAGCCATGGCACTTTTTCCAAAGGGACTTTATAAGCTCCTGCAAGACGAAGGCGGTCGGTTCAATGTGCAACGACATGGCTGCGTCACAGCAGCGTCACAGCCGCGTCACAGCCACGTCGCGCCTCGAACCAACCGCCTTCGTCTTGCAGGAGCTTATACTTCTTTGTTTTTCCGATAAAACGATCAACTGCAGTAACATTTTGGTTTCAGGAGTTCAACAAGGTGAACAAAAAGCTCAAATGGAACAAAAAGAAACTTTCGGATGAATTTCGAAAAGACAAGACGGAATATAACAGCTGCTTGCCGTGGCGGTAAAAGCTTGTAACTAAGATTCTTGAGTTGGTCTTCCCATCCCCTTTGTTTGTTTTTTTTTTCGCAATGCGGAGCACTTGCTTAGATAAATCGCGCTGATAACGACAAAAAATGCCAATGCTGTAAATGCGGCGACCTTATAAAGAGGTTAGTTTATTCAAGAGTATATGAGAAATCTGATAGTTGAAAGTCGGGAAGATTACCGTTATCTGAAATGCTACCGCATTTCTTAACATAACGTTGAAACCCATTGATGTTGCTTCGAATTTGAAAACTGATCGTTATTCGCCGCATTCGGTACTTACCGTTCGTCTACTTCTGCCTTGTTGAAGTAAAGCCGGTCCGTGTTTGAATCATCAAACTATAAAATGATTTTTGTTGCGTAGTTTGGTTGTGAAATTTTATATTTTATTTAGATTTACGTTACAAGTGAGTGCTGCCAGCTTTTCCAGCAATGCAGCAGTCTAGGATTCAGAAATTTAGTAGGTCGAAGGATGAGTGAGTCCTCCAGTTTTTGGAAACTTTGGTGAATATATATAAATTCAAAACCCTTATTCGGACGATGCACCATGTGTTGCACTGCAGCAAGGTGCGATGACTTTAGGAGGTCTCTACATATAAAGAATACATTTGTTGGAACGAGGCTTCATTCTTACATCGATACAAGAGATATTACCTACACGGCACCTTTTTCCCCAATGCTACTATCATTACCTGTCCTCTTCTGAGAGGATCCGGATGCCGGATTATCTGCAATTATTCCTGAGAAATGGATTTCTGGTCGAAGCGGAGCTCCATTCCCTGGTCCTTCGGCTTCTCAATATATTGGCGGTGACGATAACAACGAGTTGTTATGAGGATGTGGCTAACAAAACGTGGCATATCATGTAGAAATCATAAATCTCTGCAATTCATGACACTTATTTATGAAACAGGTCGACAAATTCGGAAGAGATTTGGAATCAGCGTCTCCAAGCAGACGTTATCGTATATATATATTCTTGGAGAAGGCCATTTCGAGTCAAAAGGCACCCGTTCCCCTGATTAGTTCAGTGTGCATACACTTTAGCTCCAAAGTAAAGGTACAGATAAGTGTGCTCACACATCTTAGATTCACTTATGGAAAAAATGTTACAGTATTCCTATGGACAAAATGTTACAGTATTCCTCTTTTATTGTACCTTACATGGTTATCACACCGTATTCCTGCAAAGAAGGTTGAGGTACACGAATGCACCCATTCTCACTTTTAGACTGCAGCATGGCTGCGAATTGAATCCCTTTTATACCCTCTATGCGGCAAGAAGAGCCATCAGGTTCCGCTACGGTGTAGAACACCTGAAATTTGGAAATTGAAACATATTTGTACATGATAGTTCATCGGACTTACCACGTCATCAAATTCACACATAAACCTAAATTTGAAAGTTTTTTCATACATCAGAGCTATATCGAGGTTGCTCGTATTGACTGAGTAAATTTCTATGGCTACAGGTCCCCAACTCACTACTTTCCCTGTGGAGAGGTAGGCTGGAATTACAGTTGGACAGGTGAGCATCTTTATGTATCGATACAGACTCACCAACACTCACATCATTACACGTCGTGTCAACCCATCGCAGGTCAACTTTCTTTGACAATCTTCCGTTAGTGTTAACATAAACGCATCTATCTACAATGTACAACTATATGCACATGTAACGCAAAAGCTAAGCGCGGTAGGAACCATTACGTGGATCAAACCGAAGAATTACCGTCGTAGCAAAAAACTAGCTGTGTTCCAGCACTGTTTGGAAGCACGGCTATGCAGCGAGGCACAACTTCTTTCTAAATTAAGAAAAAGCAAACAAGTGTAGAATTCTAGAACTGGGTGCAAAGAAATATGCATGCGATTACTTACATTAAAAGGTATGTGTATATCGTATATCGAACTGGAATCAAGGTCAATAGCGTGAAAACCTTGAGCTGAAGCATATAGCACTTTAAGACGCACATGATTTTCCAGTGTCAAATCAACGATGAGTGGCGAATGTGGCAATGATGCGAAAGACTGGAAACAGCAGAATGTTGTTTGTGATCAGAAGGCCAATTTTGCATGTCGGAATTTTCTTAATGGAAACATTAATTTACCTTAAAGGGCACGAACTTAGAATGGGGCCCAGATTCCCACATGTATATTATAATACTAAACTCCAAGCCAACAACCAAGTACTCTTGATTTTCATAGCAGACTGATTTGAAATGTTGAGCGCCCTGCAAGTCGTCAAGATTCTTCCAGCGTTTTTGTACCGGTGCTCCCCTTGCGGAACCCTAAAGTTAGCCATCAACAAGGAATCATGATTTTGGAGTGTTACCTTTGCGTCCACAAGCTTTTGCATTAGCCAACTCAGATTGTATATCCTTATCCTTCGCTTCTTTCCAGAAATTGTAATAAGCAGATTTTCTTCCTTCAGTACGGCCAACTGCTCAAAGCGACGCTGAGTAATCAGCTCATACACTGAACCAAAAAAGCAACAGTGGTAGTGCGAGAGAAGGGCCCGTAGTAAACTCCCATTCATCTCAATTGACCTGAGATGAGTCATTCAGAAGAACTTCCTAGGTTGAATCCAATCCCGCCCACCTTTCCGTGCTTTATAGACAGTTGAACCGTCGGAAGACTGTCAAGTGTCAAGGTCAGTTTGACAGAATGATACTTAGCCGAGGGTAAATTTTAGGGTGACCCGAGGGAGAAAGTGTGCAAGAGAGGAAAAACAGACAGATTTCCCGTAAGTTGCTCGTGAGTGACTTACGGAACAATTGAGTTGACGTAGTGTTTCAATTCAGAAATCTGCACAATTTCGGGGCCCAAGAACGCGAGAATCGATGAGCAGCTGATTGCGGCAAGGAAATGGGAAAAAGGTTTTTTCTTTTTTTTGCAAAGTTCGCTTAAGTTTTTTTGGAAGTTGCATAAAAAAAGAATCTATTTATTTTGTTCATATTATTCGTGTTCCAACTTTCTCAGTTTTTCACGCGATTTCTTCGCCAAATATCGTAGTTCTGTTTTATCCATTTATTTGTTAGACGATATATTTGATAGCGATCACCATCGATTCTTTCTGATAGTGGTCGTTTGAAAGATTGCCCGGCGATGGCGAATGACTTTATTAGCCGGCCTCGAATCATGTCCTTTCGCGTCGAATTCCATTCACTTAGCCGTTCAGGCAAAACTGCTCAAGGCGTTTCGTTTTTAGGTGCACCCAAGACTTCTACGTCTAGAAGGTGATTCCCATCAAAATAGCTCACTGGATGCCGGACTGAGGAGTCCTAGGTCCAACGTAGGCCCGCCCTCAGCCGAGTTGCGCTAAACAGGGGTTTACTACGGGCGAAGCTGAAGGTCGGAGAAGCCGCTATTCTCAAAATTCGTTACCTTTGCTTTGACGACTCCGATCAAATTCGCATAACATGAGGCCGCCATCGGCTCCTATCAGCAAATTCTCACCCCATGGCGCAGCACAGAGTATTTCAAATTTAAACACGGTAGCAAGCCGCCACATCATCATTCCATCAGATTCCTGGGCTCCGTTCTGCGGGGTGTCGGTATTTATCTAGGAGAAAAGCAATGAGTTCAGAAATAAAACGATAATCCGTAGTTTTATTCCGAATGTGACGTTTTTTGTATGAGCGCCACTTCCTGCAGAACAAAAAAGTGCAGAGCTCATGGAAGATTTTGGAAGCAATCGATGTAGCTTTTCATTGTCTTTCGAACGGCTTTGTTTTTCAGTATTGTCCATGTTTGGCTATTCTTGAACCCTAGCATGGCTCAAGTTTCGCAGTTTTTCTGGTTTAGAGCGTACCAAAAAGAAAATTTTCTCAAACATTGATTTTGTAAACCTTTTTCAAAAGACTGACATTACGGTAAACGCGAATAACTGATTGGCTTGGGTCTTATAGCTTGGTTTGTTGAACTCTGAATATGCGATGTTGTCAATCTTCATTCATTTTTACTACTGTGCTTTTTCAGATGTCGGATACAACCATAGTTTGATGCTAGAAGACCAAGGTTTCCTAAGAAAACTTCTCTGAAAAATATAAAGTGGTTGACCAAAGACCTGAAAAGAAAACAAACTGTACTTCAGCCTCACTCTTTATGGAGTTACTCAATCTAAAGATCTGTAACAAAAACTTCTAGAATAGTCAAATTTATTTGTGGTACCGGCAGGCAACTAGATACTTCACCAGGATCTAGCTTGGAGATTTCAATTCTGGAAGGTAACCGTATAAAGAGGAATTGAAATTGCATTGAAAACAGCGACCTTTACCTTAAACTCACGAAATTACATAGTAGACTTCCTGGATATAACGAATACATATACTTTTTGAGATTTTATTCAAATTAAAATAATCGAAATTTTTGCAGTTTTTGCCAAAACTTGAAAATCGTTTTTCTGGTGTTTTTCTTAACCCGCTTATCGTGGCTACATGCCAAGAGAATTTTGATACCCTAATTTCACGCGTACAAGGCGCATTTTTCGATTTTTCAAACAAGCCGCTCATCCGCTTCAATGTGTTTCGGAAAGCGAACCTTAAACCGTTCAATTCTCTCAGGCAATACGGAACCCGGTATAGGGTTCTTTGGTCGCGAACTGTTGTGGCGTGTTTGGGCTAGCGGATTTCAGAAAAAAATCCCCCGCGCCGTGTACGGGTGAAATTAGGATAATTATTTCGCGAACGCAAGGATTCTTTGCTCGTTTGTATCAAATCAAACGATTTCATCAATAAATTTTAGAATTTCGGTGCAAGACTTGTAAGTACATGTCCTAATATCATAATCACTATATTTCGGGAAATTCGAAATTCTTCGTCGATCGAATGAATACCGACTAATTTTTAGATATGAAGATTCCAAGTGAACGATATGGCCAATATTCGAACATTAAGTTTCGCAAACTTCCATTCGACACACTTTTTTCTAACTCGAATTTTATTCGATCGGACCTCAGTTTGATAAAAAGGATAAAGAATTCGGAGTCTTCATTACCCTCTGAGGGCATGCGCCAAACGCACACTGCTTCATAATCGAGGAGGAAATTGTATGCGTGCGAGCCTATTACAGCGACTTGCGGGGGCAAACGTTTGCCAAGTCACTGCTTCTATCTTCCCAGATTACTCTGGTACCAATTTACCGGCTCCGGGGAGTGAAGGGCTTGGTTGGCAAAGGGGCGGGGATCGAACCTGTGCCCAATCTGGTTGTAGTGGCGCCTCATACCTCTACGCCACTCGTTCCCTTAGTATAATAGTCCCCGAGATTTTCCTTGCAGCAGAAGTAGCAATTGAACCCCTTTCCGCTACATAGGATCAAAAGGCTTAATGAAAATGCCTAGTGAATGCTAGATCATGGTTTGAACAAAAACATTAGGTAGAGAAGAAAAAGCTGCATTGAATGCATGTTTGAACGGAGATCGTTATTATACGAGATCCTCTGCGAGAATTTTATTCTTAGGCCAACCAACCTCGTCAAAATCCATTTGAGTTTGAGCATCAGTAGAACTGCTTCCCACCTCCTCCACTCTAGAGACCAGCGCCACAAGATCTGTGAAAAGAAATTACTTGCGTTATTCCTCCTTCACAAACTCTTCGTGCGTAGGTGGATAGCACCGTACTAAATTTGATATGGTTGTCCTAATTCCAGTAAGAGCGGCTGCGAATGTTCCGAACGATATTAGTGGTATCATTTTGTTCCGCATACTATACTTGAGATACGCTCAACATCAAATAAAGCTGGGTTGATGTCCTGAGAAAGCTTCAATGCGTCTTATTTTGCAGTGGGTCCTCAGCAATAAAGGCAACCCAGTTGTCCGCCATATGATAGCGGGGTCTGTTTAAGGACGAGTATCTCAGTTGAATATCTGCACTACTGCTTAGGCAGTGCCTTGAATAGGCTCCCAAAATGAGGTTGCACCAGCGATTCCCATGTTCCAGATTTGCCTCGACGCTGCCCCTTAACTTCGTCCACAAAAGCATTCAGCAGATGGTGAAAGCAGTCTGGGGTAGCGTTCTATGCTGTATCCAAAAGTGTACAGTTTGATTAAACGGTAGACGTGTTTTTGGAGTAGCGTGGTACCCATTATCTTATATATAAAGCTGAATGTCTGTTTGTCTGTCTGTCTGTCTGTATGTATGTATGTATGTCTGTACGTATGTTCCGAATAGAAAATTCCATTTCTGAACCGATCCGGACCAAACTTGGCACACATACACTTCGGGCCCCGGCGGGTGTCATAGGCTACTTTTCGTCATCGATCGATATCGATTTTATCGATTTTTATCGATTTTTTTTGCTGAGTTCACCTACGGGGCTGGGAGTTGGCACAGGAGGGTAATCGAGCATGGGGATTCCGAATACAATATTGGTTTTCAGGATTATCGATTACTTTTATTGATTTTATCGATTTTTTTGCAAAGTTTGAGCTACGGGGCTGGGAGTTCGCACATGGGGGTAGTCGAGCATGGGGATTCCGAATACAATATTGGTTTTCAGGATTATCGATTACTTCTATCGATTTTATCGATTTTTTGAAATTTTGAGTTAGGGGGCTGGGAGTTGGCACAGGGGGGTAATCGAGCATGCTGATCATCCCCAAGGGGGTGATCAGCATGCTCGATTACACCCCTGTGCCAAATTCCAGCCCCCTAGCTCAAATTTTCAAAAAATCGATAATCGATAAAAGTAATGGACGATCTTGAAAACTAATATTGTATTCGTAATCTGCATGCTCGATTACCCCCCTGTGCAAACTCCCAGCCCCGCAGGTCAAACTTTACAAAAAAATTGATAAAATCGATAAAAGTAATGGACGATCCTGAAAACTAATATTGTGTTCGTAATCAGCATGCTCGATTACCCCCCTGTGCAAAATCCCAGCCTCGCATGTCAAAATTTACAAAAAATCGATAAAATCAATAAAAGTAATCGATAATTCTGAAAACTAATATTGTATTCGGAATCCCCATGCTCACTTCCCCCCCCCCCCCCCTGTGCCAACTCCTAGCCCTGTAGGTGAACTCTGCAAAAAAATCGATAAAAATCGGTAAAATCGACATCGATCGATAACGAAAAGTGGACTGTGACACCCGCCGGGGCCCGAAGTGTATGTGTGCCAAGTTTGGTCCGGATACGGCGGAGCCGGGTAAGCCAGCTAGTCCTTTATAATCCTATTGCAACTTGTGTTAGCTCTAACAAGGGACAGGGCCCAGCACGAGGTGGCGTTGAGAATTTTGAAAACGAAGTCCTCCTTGACATTGCAGAAGATTACGAGGTAACTTATGTGATGTCTGAATACGGCTGATAACCTGCAGCGAATGATGAATGAATGGAAGTCAAGCATAGACAAGGAAAATCGGAAATAAAACATTAGCACGTGAAAAAAAACGGTTTTTACATCATTCAGGGCCGTAGCAAAGCAGAGGGGACGAAATTTGGGTTAAGGTAAGTACACATAGGTGTAACTGGAACTGAAGAGAAGATTTATGTGAAAAACTTTCAAAAATTATGTGAAGGAGAAAATTATGACTTTGTCTGGTTCCGTGCAACCTCAGGGTGCTCCCAGGTTGCGCGGGAGCAACCTAAATTAGAAAAATATTTACAACTCCTTTCATTCACATAATATTTTCATAATTTGTCATACTTTCCTTTTGATCGTGGTCGCGAAGCTACACACCAAATTTGGTGGCTCAATTTTGCTTACCGGTTGTAAACAAACTGATTATTTATTTTTTGTACGTGAAGATTGTATTTCAACACGTTGAAATCGTTTGCACACAAATCTGAGCATTTCTCCTGTTCGTAACGTGTTATTTTACCTGTTACTTGTGAATTGACGTCAGAGTTGAAATATGAGCTTAAGCTTATTAAAGGTTAGCTGTTGCCCGCTAATATTTGATCAGATTTCCGCGAACAACTCCTGGGAACTCTACGTGTTCCCTTTTGCTTTTCTCTAAAAAAACGGCATCCAGCGTGTGAAAGCGCCACCTCTGCTGAGCTCTGATAAGGGAATCCGTGGCCTTTTGAAATGAAATCTATACCAATACACTTGTCTTCGAACGCTGATTCCAAATCTGACGCAAGGCAAGTAGGACAGGAACACCAACATGGTGGCACGTTAACATGCATTCAATTTCGGTTCAATTTCATTTTTATAGGCACCCTTTGGAATAAACGTAGAAACACTCGTATAAAAATGACTCCTCGTTAGATTTTCAAAGAGTAAGGACATGCATCAACCTCGAGGAAACCTAACTCTCAAAAAGAAACTTAACTGAGGCAATGAAGAGGATCAACAACACACTGAAAAACACAAGAGGATCTAAACCTACACCTGCATCAACTTGTGATGCTGTCGCACTAGCCACTACATCACAGCTATAGGCGGTATTAGTGTTCCTATCATATCTCGGTCGGCCAAATTTGGCGCGAAGATCCTTCATAACTTCTTTCAGAGAAACGATCAGCAGAAACGAAAGTCAGATTCGGAATCAGCGTTCGACGACAAGTGTAGTGGTATACATTTTATTTCAAAAGGCCACGGACACTAAGTATTGTCTCCTTGTAAGCAGAGCTTAGCGCACAAGAATGTTGCATGTTTTTTGTGGATTACTTATCACTCCTTGATGCCAAGGCTCAGCAAAGAAAGTCCCTGGAGTAAATTCCCTTGGAGTTTTAGACAAATGTCTCAGGAACAAGTTTCAGATACAAATGACACGATAGACTGGAACTCACCTTTTAAACGGTAACTGATCGCTAATCCTTCGGAAGGCACGCTAGTTTCGTGACGGCATTGTGGGCATATTACTTTTCCAGATCGAGTCTGAATAGACTATGGCATTTTTTTGTAACACGCCCGAATTACATTCCGAAATGTTGTTTCATTTAGTATTTTGGTGGAAATGAGCCGCCATCATTGCCTCAAAGGCTTCGACCATTGGAAAGTTGCAAAGTTCCACTGCCATGTAATACCAAGCCCCTCACCAGAAAACTAGCCAAGCCCCAATGCAAAGGATGAATTCCGAAGTGAGGAAACAGAAGCTACAGTCCGTGCAAGCTCGTGCAACCGAAGGCCCGCCCGCGCATAATGGTGTGATTGCTGCGCAGGTCTGTCGTCCTAAACCGATTGTAGGTGCGGATCTTTCCGCTCCATCGGTCAACGTCAACGTGTGTGGAATTCGGTGTTGCACGCGAGGACTCAAAGTACTTAGACATGAAAGCTCTACTTTCTCAAGAGGGTACCGACAGTTATTTGTAAACTAAATTCCATCATCAAACCTAGACCTCTCTCAACTTATGTTGGCGGGCAGAGCGGACAGCAATTCATGCGAATTACGTTTGGCACTGGGCTTGCGCAGTATCGCAGACTGCGATGGCTGATACTTGTTATTTGTTTATAGTAAAATATTTGAAGGCAGTGGATCGGCAAAATCCAACAACTCGGGATTTTAAGTTCCTAGGTAGGTTCCTTATCGCCCAACTATAAAAACAGTGCAATCCCATTTGCACAGCATGCTTTCCCTGCCAAGAAAATCGCTCTCGAACTTACACGCGCAGGCCAATCTTACACGCATCTGGACGAGTTGGCAATTTCCATCTCACCATTGGAGGCTGCCCGCCGCAACGCTATAACCATTGGGTCCTGCCACGATTTAGCGTCATCGGCCTTGCTCCACTCGTCCAATATCAACGGGAAGAGCATTGAAAAACGCTCATTTTCGCTGTATTCAAGCTTTCAAAAGTGGATTTTCGGGATCAGCGTAATGAAAAACCCCAGGTAAGCGCAAATCTCAACCTAGTCAAATTTGTCCGGGCAAAAATTCGATTTCGAGATTTTGTGCTTACTCGGGTCTACTCGCTACGCTGAATCCGAAAATGCACATTAGAGAGCGCAAAAACGGCGAAAAACGCCTCTAACACAGGAGGGAAATCAGCAGGTGGGCGGGGCCCTCCCCACCTGTGAATTCACGCTTCCAGCTTCCGAAGCGATTTTCTCGCTTCCGTTTTCAAGTCAGTCATTTGCACTTGGCGGGTAGCGACGTTAGGACGGCTAGCGGAATCGAGAAGACCGCTTCGGAAGCTGGGAGCGTGAATTCACAGGTGGAAGTACCCCGCCCACTTCTGACTTCCCTCCTGCGTTAGACCTTCTTCGCCGTTTCCGCGCTCTCCAATATGATTTTTCGGATTCAGATAGCGAATAGGCCCGAGTAAGCACAAAATCTCAAAATCGAGTTTTTGCCCGGACACTGCCTTTAAGTCAAGTTGGGCATATACTTGAAATTGTACATAATCTTTCTTTTTGGAAAATGAATCATTCTCTTCTTCTGATACTTGTTCATCGCCAACCTCTCCACTGTGTCACTTGGGCTATCGCCTATCGTTCGCCTGCATCGCATTCGGATGAACGATTATCGCGACTATTGTATGTGTCGTGTAGCAGCACCGGAGCAATCTTCGGTACAACTCTATCGGCGGTTCCATTATAGGCAGTTTACAACCTAGCTTAGGATCCGGATATCATCTAAAACAGTACCAACCCAAATTTTGGTGAAAGGCTCTACTACCCGTTGCGCGGGAAATTTGAGGATATCGTATCTATTTTGAAGTTCAGTAACGAGAACACATACGCTGAACGATGGGAAAGCATTCGCTGAGATTTTCTAATCAACATATCTGCCAAACCCGTGACATCATTGAATCGCAACACAATACGAAGTACTACTCCGAAACTTAGAAACATGTTCTTTGATTACCGGTTAGATGTCACTAGGTTCGATTCCATCGAATTTGCATAAACTTACAATCCTCTCGACACAACTGTTACAAAACGAATGCCCACAACTTAGTTGCACAGGCTGTACAAAGCGTTCCAGACATACTGGGCATTCAGTTAGGTCCTTCAACTCTCTGGATGTGTTCGGTGAATCGATTTCGGACATCTGAAGATTATACTGATAATTCCGGACATTTTTCGATATTTACGCAAATGCTGAAGAGTCAGATTGACAGTTGAGTACAGGTTGTGTCAATGGCCTAGTCCCTTTTCTGAAGTCGTCGCTTTCCTAATTTCCGTCGCAAATCCTTCGACACGTTCGCGAGCGAATAGCAATTTATCATTCAAAGTAGCTTGAAACGCCAAATATGCTGCTCTTAACTGCAAAGCGTTCCCTGAAGCGAACTATGGAACAAAAATAAATAAATATGATGATATAATATATAATACAATATAAACAATAAAGGCATACCACGGGAGCTTCGTGTAGCCCACAGATGGCAGACCTCACTCTATCATAATGAATTTTGAATTCTTAGAAACACAGACAAGAACTTTAAGTCGTAGCACTAACTTGGACAATTATACGTAGATATATAGACGACATACTACATGTCTCTAAAGATGTATCGCACTTTGAAAGAACTTGGAGGAAATATATTAGGTTGTCTCATAATTAATGCATGTTTTTCTAACCTCTTTATGAGAGAGGTGATTTTCAAAGAAAAAACATTTTTCTTCAAGACCCTTTATAGCATCGGAAACCCCGATTCCTCTAGTTTCTAACATGTGCTTTCGTTTTCGCAAATCTTTCTTAAAGCCGAAGTTTCATGCCTTCAAAGACAAGTGATTGAAATTTGAAATTCCTTCCCTTCACTCTCCTTGCTCTAAATCCATGAAAAGTAGATGGATTTTCTTTAAAAAATATGCCTAACGATCGCGAAGCTTTGTGCTACAAAACGCTTGTCTGTTTGAGATTTTTGAAAAATTTCGAGCCGAGAAAACTTGGCTGGTCGCTGAGGCCCGTCTAAGCTGCATAAAAATCCCAAGCAAAAGGCGGCTGTATAAATTTCGCTATGTACACGTAGCATAGACCTAGTACAACTAATGCTAGAAAAGACGCAGCATTTCATCTTCTTTTCGAGGAGAAAAAATCCAAAAAATCACAAAAAGGCAGTTTTCTGGATCTTCCAAAATACGGAAAAAAATGGGTACTTCCAATTTTTTTGCAAAACTTTCTCACAGAAGTATGCCGCAAAATTCAAACTTCACTCCATTGCACAACCGACCATCGGCTATATAATGAGCAAAGTCCGCGCGATCCTAGTACATTTGGGCGAAAGTTAAGCCCTCTCAAAGTATAGGTTTCTAAAAAAATGTTCGGGAATTTTTTAGGCTATAAAATTTCTTAAAGTGGCTGCGTTCCAGCAAAAGCATGCATTCTATAGTCAGAGGTTTGTTGTTTGCAGTGATTTTTATTGCGCTCAAAAAGATGGTTTGGGCATAGAGTTATCTTGATTAGAAGTTGAAATTCATAAAACGTGCATTGATTATGAGACAACCCAATATTATCCTTCTTTAGAAACGAACCGACATTAACCTAACAAAAACAAACTTTCTGAACCTTACCTTCAAAATTTCGATAATAAAATTGAGTTTAATGTATATATTAAGACAGATGACTGATTCTAAGGTATTTAGATATCTACACTGGAATTCTAATACACCCAGATATTAGTGGCAGTCCCAAGATTTCTGTTCGGTTGAGGGGGGGGGGGGAGAGGGGCAAAAAATTTTGTCGACTGAAGGTGCACGCCGTTTACCACGCACTCCAAAAAATTTTGGGGCGCTTTTTAAAATTTTTCCGGTCCTATAACCCCCAAAATCTGGAAGAAGGGGGCGGATTATTGAAATGAAATCATGAGTCATTCAGCGCCTATAGGAAATATTGAGTGTTACATCACCACCTAGATGCCCAACCCGTAACATCAGTAAGTCAGTATGCAAATTCCGCTCAGAAACATGCTCTTAACTCTATCAAAAGCTCTCTCAATATTGCTTTGCGGCTAAGGACAGCATATTTGGAACCAGTGTTGTGAGCTGATCAAAAGGCCATCTAATTTTAAGTTAGTTGCATTTTCATGTTAGATGTGAACAAGTTGAATTTAGAATCAAACTACTACAGAAAAGTGATACACACCAAAATCCGCAGAGTCCATTCAAGCAATGAATGCATACCTCACGCGATTTCAGTCGCTGCGCGATTGACCACACAGCGAATCTTCATCGTTAGACGTAAAAGCTCTTTGCTGCCAAGACTTGACACGCTCGGCGGTATATCCTTTGATACAACGGGATTGACAGTTGGAAGGCGACCGCTCGCACCCGCGACGCAGTCTGCCTCGCGAGCGCGCTCTTTGCTCACTCTCTAGCCTTAATTCATCCACGAAGCCTGGCCTTCCAGCCGCCAGTCTCGTTGAATCAAAGGGTACAAAAGCTGCGTTTATGCATATAAGGACTGTGCAGGGTAAATGTAAAGATCTGGCCAAATGTTATTTTGCGGAGTTTCAGCGGTTAGATGCAATAGCTGAATATATGTCTCAAATCTAAGGAGTATCAACTTTACTGTCTTGCAGGTTTACTCAATTGCTGAAATCAGAGCAAAGAAGTCACACAACTTGGGTCGGAAGCAATACTGTTGTACGATAGTAAGACTAAAGCACGTGAAAAAAATGGGAAAGGAGACAAGAAATACCAGCAAAAGGTGTAAAAAACGACCATCAAGTCGGAATGCTGCTGTATAAAAGTTTGTACAAAATTCGGGGTTAAGTACAGGTAGTCAAAGCACAAATTAGTCAATGGCATACACCCGGAAATCCCTTCACATGCGGATGGAGGAGTATTTCCGCTTTAGAAATAGGGGAAGAGAGCCTGGCTATCTACCTTCAAAAACCCACAGAGCCAAATAAGGTAATGTACAGTATGGTCTTTGAAGACGTTAAATCCTCTTCAAATTCGCTACCTTAGTCCTATATTGACAGAGAGCGGTGACGCGTATAAATACAGGGTGTCCAAAATGTCGCAATTGCTTGATCGGCAATAACTCTCTCTCCAATGTTTTTCTCCACTCTTAAGATATCACTATGTAGAGCTGACTTTAAAATAGAATTACAGTATTAAGCGGATAGCCGATCTCTTCTTTACTGTACGGTTACGGGAAGTTTGAAGAAGGTTCCGAGCCATTAAAAGGTACTTGTGTTTCCTAATAAACCAAGTAAGCTAAAAACTTGTCTTTTTGCTGATCAAAATCGCCTGATTATGAAATCCGCAGGTTGTTGAGAAACTTGCAAGGAGCTGTGTAGTAAACCAGCACCCATGAAAACTATGCTACACAACTTTCCACGTTTTTCGGATGTGGGCAAGAGGTACCTACTGTACTTACTGTTTCAAAAATATAACGGTGACTTGCTCCGCACTATTAATCTAACCTGAAGCCAGCTCTGTAGAATGGTGCTTTAAAAGGGGTAAGCGACATTCAAGCAAGAGAGTAAATGACAATCGTAGAAACATTTTTTGAGACACTCGTACACGAACACGCATACACGCATAAGCGCACAAACTGTATAGAATTTCGCCAAAAAAAAAGAGAAAGAAGCAGCCGAAAGTGACAGACCATGCATCTGTGGACCTTTTTATGTATCCTGATGCTGAAATATATACTAGGCACTTACGGGAGAGCAGCTAACTATAATCACCTCTGGTATGCATTAGATCATGCAAAATAAGATAATGTAAACTCAAGTGATGACTTGATAATATAATGATTTATATCGAGTCGTTCCGAAAGTTCGTTCGTACCATTTTCAAAAATTTATAACTTTTGAATTTTCCTACCCATTTGATTGCTTCTGATTGGTTTCTTTAGCAGCGTCCAAGATTGGTACAGATATTTATTCCACAATAACAGACTAACGTTTCGGCAAACTCGCTTTTTCAGAGTCTTAACAGATAATAGATTTGGTGAATGGAGACCACTTAAGTGGACTTTGAAGAAGGCGAGTTTGCCGAAACGTCAGTTTGTTATTTTGGAATAAATATCTGTACCAATCTTGGACATTGCTAAAGAAACCAATCAGAAGATTCAAACTATGCCAAGATTTATCGATAGTCAAATGGATTCTCATTTGATTGCTTTTATTTTTGTTCTATGGATTAAGGGGCTAATCAGTGGTTATACATTGCATAGATAAGAGCTGGTAAAAGATTGCTTAAAATTCAAAAAATTAAAATTCAAATCTGTGTAGGGTCATAAAAATCTGAACCTTGCGATGAAACGCGGAGCAATCGACATTTTATGTCTTGTTACATGCTCTTTTTTGAGCAATCTTTGTGCTGACTTAGCGTCTTTATCAAAAGTTGTGATCATTAAGTCAGCAGAACTAGCGGATTTGGTTTTTGGCGTTTTTTTAAATCACATCCTTTGGTAGACATTCAATAACACAAACTTTGTTTTGTTAGAAAGAGCAAGTAACAAAACCTATGACACCCACTGCTTTAATTTTTATTGTAAGTTTGAAATCTCTTGACCAGGGCCCGGCACGAGGTGGGTAGACAGGGTTTCCCAAAACGAATTCCCCTTTGACCCCAATAGTTGTTACGAATACCCCCTTGAGCCCAAAAATGACGCTTTGTGCTTGTGGAATGAGAGTACTGGCCACACTTCGCCTAAAAGCGCTCAAAAGCGCCCAAAATGTCAAATTCCTCTAGTTACTCCTCACCTGTATCGAGATAGAAAACAGGAAGAAGATGAAGCAAGGAAAATGATGAAGGAATGAATAAATATCAAAGGAACGCAGTCATAGGACTGAGAGACGCCGTTCCCGCGCGTATCGATTGACTGGGGCGCGCTTTCCATCTTACAAGGAAAGGAAGATTGGTCGAAGTGGCCTTTTGCAATGAGAGGTACACTGCCTTGTAGAGCTTAGAACGCGGATTCCAAATTTATCTTTGCTATCTGCTGTGGGCTTCTGGGCGAGGAGCTATGAAGGTTTTTGTGAGTAAAAATCTGAATGCAAGAGTAGGCTAAAATCAGTCGTAACATTTTTTATTGGGTTCAATTGGTAGTCGGGTCACTCGGTGCAACGAATATTCTTGATTCAAACATAC